AAAGAATTGTACGTAATTATTCTGTAGCTTTCCGTTAGCCCGAGAAGCAGCTTGTAACAGACTCACAAAGCATGATGAGAACGGTGGAGACAGGCATGTCACGTGCCGAGTGGCAAGCATCCTTTCATGGATACCAAGGTAGCTAGCATCCTTTCAGGGGTACCAAGGTAGCTAGCATCCTTTCAGGGGTACCAAGGTAGCTTGCATCCTTTCAGGGATACCAAGGTAGCTAACATCCTTTCAGGGGTACCAAGGTAGCTAACATCCTTTCAGGGGTACCAAGGTAGCTAACATCCTTTCAGGGGTACCAAGGTAGCTAGCATCCTTTCAGGGGTACCAAGGTAGCTAGCATCCTTTCAGGGGTACCAAGGTAGCTAGCATCCTTTCAGGGGTACCAAGGTAGCTAGCATCCTTTCAGGGGTACCAAGGTAGCTAACATCCTTTCAGGGGTACCAAGGTAGCTAGCATCCTTTCAGGGGTACCAAGGTAGCTAGCATCCTTTAGATATTTTCTTCACAGCAGTTATCAGGAAACGAACAGAGACACATGATGGCTGGTTTTGCACCACTTGATCATAAATTGATGAATGGCAATCTAAATGAGGTCAATACCCTCAGGGAGCGATAGAACAGTGCGGAAGCACAAACAGATTACCACGGTCTGGATAATGTGCATAAGGGGGTGGGGGGGGGGGGTGATCTGGTTGTCTGGCCGATACCCAACACTCACAAGAAAGACGAGTGGGGGGGGGGGGTGATCTAGTTGTCTGGCCGATACCCAACACTCACAAGAAAGGCGAGTGGGGGGGGGGGGGGTGATCTAGTTGTCTGGCCGATACCCAACACTCACAAGAAAGGCGGAGGGGTGGGAGGGTGATCTGTTTGTCAGGCCGATACCCAACACTCACAAGAAAGGCGGAGGTGGGGGGGGGGGGGTGTTGATCTGGTTGTCTGGCCGATACCCAACACTTACAAGAAAGGCGTAGGGGGGAGGGGGGGGGGTGTTCTGGTTGTCTGGCCGATACCCAACACTCACAAAAAAGGCGAGGGGGGGGGGGGATCTGGTTGTCTGGCCGATACCCAACACTCACAAAAAAGGCGAGGGGGGGGGGGATCTGGTTGTCTGGCCGATACCCAACACTCACAAGAAAGGCTGGTGGGGGGGGGGGGATCTGGTTGTCTGGCCGATACCCAACATTCACAAGAAAGGCGGGGGGGGGGGGGGGATCTGGTTGTCTGGCCGATACCCAACACTCACAAAAAAGGCTGGTGGGGGGGGGGGATCTGGTTGTCTGGCCGATACCCAACACTCACAAGAAAGGCTGGTGGTGGTGGGGGGGGGGGGGGGGATCTGGTTGTCTGGCCGATACCCAACACTCACAAGAAAGGCGGGTGGGATCTGGTTGTCTGGTCGATACCCAACACTCACAAGAAAGGCGGGTGGTGGGTGGGGGGGGGGGGGGATACAGTCAGACTGCTGCTGGTAGCACTGGAACTCTGGGCTGGCACCGAGGATGGGGAAGGCGAGCGTATGGAAATATCCTGGCTCTGAACTCAGCTATCGTCTGGAAAGACGGAAGTGCCAACGACAACAGTAACAAAAGAATGTGGAGAATGGTGTCCTTGATTTGTTTCCAGCACCAACTTATGGCAGGTTTCATGATGGACTACACTTTTTATAAACTGGGGAAAAGGGTGTGGTGGAGGGTGGTCGGGGGGGGGGGGGGGGGGGGTTGTGAATATGTACCCTAAAGTACAGGAGCAACAGTCTGAAGAAATACATCGTCTGGACTACATTGTTGAAAGTGAAGTACAGAGTCAGATACTCCTGTTAGGTCACGGGGCGTACACCTTCAGACGCTTTGACGTCAGAGGTTATTTTTAGCAGACACACAACAACACGGGGTCAGTTCATGGCAAGCAGTGGGGTATAATATATATGTGTGAAAGAGATGAGATGTGTGTCTACAAGTGCAGATGTGAATGTGGAGAGATGATGTCCTATGTCTATCTATCTCCACTATGGAACTTGTCTCCTATCTCTTGTACTGACTGACAAACAGAGATAAATGAAGACTAACTGTCTCATTATCCTGAGAGTTATCCTCTGAGTGACTGAGATGGGTGGAGGGAAATAAATTGAGCTAGGTATGTGACTCCTAATTAACAACTGTTTAGGTACATTTCAAAGCATAAAGAGGGGCGTACGACAAGGATGTGTACTGTCACCTGATTTGTTTTCAATATACAGTGAATATATAATGAGAGCTTTAATTGGTATGCCCGGAATTGTGGTTGGTGGGCACAATATAAACAATTTACGTTATGCTGATGACACAGTCTTGATAGCAACAAGTCAAAAAGAACTACAGGAAATGATAGTCATTGTGGTGTTAGAAAATGGAAGAATGGGCCTCAGTTTGAATAATGGGAAGACAGAAGTAATAGTGATATCAAAGAAACGAATTATTCCTAAGTGTGTAATAAAAGTTGATGGTGTTATTTTAGGACAAGTACAGAAATTTAAGTATCTGGGCACATGGATAACATCAGATGGAAGATGCATAACTGAGATAAGAAATAGAATAGGACAGGCAAAAACTGCATTTTATAAATTGAAAAACATCTTGTGCAATATATCCTTGTCATTGAGAGTTAGAAAAAGAATTCTTGCTTGCTACATACAACCAGTTTTAACATATGGCTGTGAATCCTTGACAATCGGTAGGCAGGCCAAACAATTTCTGGAGGCCGCGGAGATGTGGTTTTACAGAAGAATGCTTAGAATACCTTGGACAGCCAAAAAGAGCAACCAAGAGGTTTTGAAAGAATCGGGAGCCCAAAGACAACTTATCACAGACATCAGAAGGAGACAGTCATCATTTTTTTGCCATGTTATGAGAAGAGGAAAAATAGAACATGTTGTGACCACTGGAAAGATATGTGGAAGGAGGGATAGAGGAAGACAACGAGAGAAAATGCTTGGCAGTCTTGTTGCATGGCATGGAGGTGTGTCGGCACACGAACTGATACATGTTGCAGGAGATCGCAGATTATGGAGAGGCATGATCGCCCACGCCAGTCGGCAAGGCACCTGATGATGATGATGATGATGATGATGATGTGACTCCTGAGATTAATACTAATTCTAAGTTCCTTCCTGTCATAGGATGATACCTCCTAGAAGTCAGGCAGACAATCAGCAGTCCAACCAACCACCATCCATTAAGAGTGCCTAATACCACCACAACTTTAACATGGCAGGAGCTTGTTTGGGCTCCAGTGGCTGAGAGACAGTTGTTGCAGGCCACCCATTTGTTGTCCATCACGGAGAACCTTCCCCATGAGCTTTGTTGAGCTCCAGTGTACTAACTCTGTCGGTGTTTACCAGGGCTACCAGGAAAAGAAGCAGTCTACCCGAGTCAGCCTGTTCAGATCACCAGGGACTGAGGAGAGCAGTGACCTCCACCAAACTGGGATAAGTAACATCCGTGATGATTCATACCTCATGCTCTTGTTACAGGTCCACCTGGAGCCATGATGATGATCACCGATACTCTCATAGACTGACTGGCTGATTCAGCCGTACTACTTGGACTTTAATTCCTGAACTCTATTTACCTGTGAACATCTTGGATTGTCTTGATGATATATATGTCTTGCATTTATTACATGCCTTCGGAAGTTTTCATTACTGACTTTAGTGTCCCTGTTTCACTGTTCAAATTGTCTAGCATTTATGTATATGTAATCATTAATCTTAATCTGTGTTAACAATGCTGAGGTATAACAATATCATAGCCTGCGGGCTATCCTATTATAGTAGCGGGGATGTCCAGCCAAGTTGCGCCTAGGAATATTATATATTATGTAGTGCCATTGCTTGAGTTGCTCTACTCCTGAAATAGATTGGGCGTATATTGGCCACTGGATATCCTTTAGACCAATACGACCCGACACTTCAACATTATTCTATTACCGAGTGCTGCTGGTTCTTAAGAAGAAATCCTTAAAACAGGCACGCAGCACGAGCGGTATGTGACAATTGCCACAAAAGGATGGTTGACACGCTGGGCTACAGTAGTGTATACTTAGGCTTCGATAGCTATGTCTTTCGGGTCAACACATTCGAGTTTAGCAAATCCCTAATTATTCGCCTTTTGTGAACTACTTAAAGGGTAATGGGTCTATTTCCCTCCCTCCTTTTCCCTCCAAATGAACCGAAGAAACCTGTACGAGGCAACGAAATTCTGCCTGTCGTACCTCACATGTAAAGAGACACAACTGTACGAGGCAACGGAGTTCTGCCTGTCGTACCTCACATGTAAAGAGACACAACTGTACGAGGCAACGGAGTTCTGCCTGTCGTACCTCACATGTAAAGAGACACAACTGTACGAGGCAACGGAGTTCTGCCTGTCGTACCTCACATGTAAAGAGACACAACTGTACGAGGCAACGGAGTTCTGCCTGTCGTTCCTCACATGTAAAGAGACACAACTGTACGAGGCAACGGAGTTCTGCCTGTCGTACCTCACATGTAAAGAGACACAACTGTACGAGGCAACGGAGTTCTGCCTGTCGTTCCTCACATGTAAAGAGACACAACTGTACGAGGCAACGGAGTTCTGCCTGTCGTTCCTCACATGTAAAGAGACAACTGTAAAAGGGATGAGGTCATCAGTCAATTTCTCAGTTGCATGTTTCCATCCAGTAGAAACGTGGTAAGCACAAAATATAGCGCATCATTGGTCATTCAAGCAAGTCGCTAAATTTAGTTTCCAGCCACCTAACAGTCTTGTAGATTCACCGCATTGATTAATCTTGTCGGGCAACGCAGACATGACCCTCAAAATTCGCGTTTGAATAGCACTTTCCGAAACTTGGAGCAGTAACAGCACTTACGTACAGCTGCATCAATAATTCATATTAATAATTCACATCAGTATCGAAACTTGGAGCAGTAACAGCACTTATGTACAACTGCATCAATAATTCATATTAATAATTCACATCAGCATCGAAACTTGAAGCTGTTTTTGGGTAGTTCATCTTGGCAGACGAGAATGTACTAGTGAGTGTGCCCGGCAGAGAATACGGACGCTCGTAAAGAAAATCTGTGTCTATGCTGTGGCCATTCCTGACATTAGTCTTTTGTGAGACGTCATATTTCAACCTGGACACCATATGAATCTTGGGAATAAAAATAATAAGCAGCACGGCCGTGGCGCAGGATAAAATACCAGCACATATAATCACATCAGCCCATCTTCGATCCAGCAGAACTAGACACGGCAGCCATGTTCCCCAGATAACAACACAAGTACAAGAGCAAGCCAGAAGCAGCTTGGCTTCCCCCAGATTTTTCTTCTCGTTTCTAACGCTGATGGCATAGCTACAACAGATTAGAATCAATACCATTACATAAGCATGATAGGATACGAATTCCCGTGGATTGAAATTACAAAGGTATTTTGTAACGCCTGAACTGTCTGTTATTAAATACATTGCTGGTTTGTTGTTTAGCCACCACTGAACACCGATGCTGATTTGAACCCCAACAATGAAAAACGTAGTCAAAAACTGGTTGACCTTTGAAACTTCTCCACCCAATCCAATGAGTTTGTAGCTTTGTAAAGACATTAGTTTCACAAGGATAACAGCAAAACATAAAGTATACGACAAGCCGGTGAAGAAATACCGAAGTGCACACACTGCCTCTGAAGGCGTGAACACAAATGGCAGAATGGCCATGTAGAGAAGAGCCACAGATAACAGCAGAGTCAAACCCAGGCTCACGAATCGTTTGCCCAAAGCTTTTTGTGTGACTTTGTACACAACGTAAACTGCGAATATCAGAGACAGCAAAGCACCAAAGCTGGCGATTGCCAAAGCAATAATTGCCCACAGATTGTTGATAAACTCCCCTGTTGTGACGTAAACGTGTGGACCTGTCTCCACACAAGTAGTCCCGTTAACTGCTGAAGCGATAAGACAATTGCACGAGGATGCACAAGCAGCTTGTGGGATTGTGTTTAGTTCAGAGCCATCCAGCGTGTAAAATCGAAGCTGTGTAACGTTCAGCATCAACGTGGGCTTGAAGTAGGAGCCAATCTGAAAAGACAAATTATAGGTTTAGGTTTCAACAACGGATCAACATCATGACACAAAGGTGGTAACCCATAAGTGCTCTGTTCTACTTCTAACTCAAGCCTGAGTCCGAAGCATCTCAGTGCAGTGCACGAACTTTGTTTAGCGGCAAGAATCCTAAAATACTTAAGGTATTTTTTTAACTCTAAATTTTGTCCCGGCAGCGCTATTAGGCTAATATTTTCGATTTCCAACTGCCACACAGGCGTCCCATTTACTACACAAAGATGAGAGGAAATTACTAGAAGTCAACGTGAAAACAAACCCATATATATATATATATATATATATATATATATATATATATATATATATATATATATATATATATATATATATATGTCGCCACAGAGACGCCTAGGTACATGTAACGCTGTGTCGCCATAGAGACCCTTATGTACATGTAACGCTGTGTCGCCACAGAGACCCTTATGTACATGTAACGCTGTGTCGCCACAGAGACCCTTAGGTACATGTAACGCTGTGTCGCCACAGAGACCCTTATGTACATGTAACGCTGTGTCGCCACAGAGACACTTAGGTATATGTAACGCTGTGTCGCCACAGAGACCCTTATGTACATGTAACGCTGTGTCGCCATAGAGACCCTTATGTACATGTAACGCTGTGTCGCCACAGAGACACTTAGGTATATGTAACGCTGTGTCGCCATAGAGACCCTTATGTACATGTAACGCTGTGTCGCCACAGAGACACTTAGGTACATGTAACGCTGTGTCGCCATAGAGACCCTTATGTACATGTAACGCTATGTCGCCATAGAGACCCTTATGTACATGTAACGCTATGTCGCCATAGAGACCCTTATGTACATGTAACGCTATGTCGCCATAGAGACACTTATGTACATGTAACGCTATGTCGCCATAGAGACCCTTAGGTACATGTAACGCTGTGTCGCCACAGATACACTTATGTATATGGAACGCTGTTTAAACAAGCAGAGTTGAAGGTAAAACATTCAAACTACAATAGCGCCTCTCTGAATATGTTCTAAAGCCCGAGGACAGTTTGTATGTATGTGGCACCTTTAGCTATATCTGTCATCATCCAAAGCCTACACACACAGAGTCAAAGTAGACAGTGCCGGACCCTTTCGACGCCCAGTGGCACAGAGGCTGTTCAATGCAGACTCGTGTTTTTATAGACCTATTTGCACTAGATGGTACATCTAAACGTGGTCTACACCCGCCGGCCGCCTTTATTTCTCGGAAGGTTTTTCTACTGCCCAGTCTGGGAGGGCAAGTACTAGACTAAACAATTCAGTCCAGCTTGCATCATGAATCACAAAAACACAAACACACACACACAAACGTATATTCTTACACACACAATAATACACATGAGCATGCACACACACAAGCCTACACCCATACACGCGCGCGCGCACATACATAAAACCTGCCTCGGTAGAAAGTGAAAACTCTGAGCACAGTGGCGACAGTTAAGTGTGGGAGCTCCCGCTCTATCCTGGCTGTCAATATATGCTAATGAAATAAAGCTTTTAAAAGAATAATTAAATTACCCGTTGAAAGCCATCTTTCTGGTAACTGAAGAGAGACAACTCTGTTAGTAGATGCCCCTCAAACGTATACTGAAGCTGCTCCCCTTGATAGTTGAAGGTCACGTTTCGACCCAGTGACCAGGTTTTGTTTTTTAGAGTCTCTGCTAATTGATAACACATCCCATAGCCACCGGGACACTTGTCCATGTATGTAGCATGGAGACTGTGTAAGACTGCGTCCACATGCACAATTGAGTCATACACTTCAGAGGAAGTCATGTTCATATCTGAGGCGGTTGTGCTCAATGGGCACTGCTGTGTTTTGTCCAGATCTGGAATTTGTGTTGTAGGAAAATAGCAAGAGAATCTCAGCTGCAGTAGCTCCTGGAACCAAGACGACAACGATCCAATAAAATTAGGCTGTGATGTTAAATTATGCAAGAAAATATTGAACTGTTCATTTTGTTGTGATTTTCTCTCGACTAGAATGGATCCAAGGGGAAAGTAATCCTGCTTGCTGAGAATCTGAGCCCACGAAGTATGATACACTGGCACAATCCAAAAATATAAATTCTTTGTAGATTTTAAAGAATCAAACACAAAATTTGAATCCTCTTTAGTGGACAACAGAACTATGGGCATGCCCAGATACAGTTTTAAATCTGTGTGAACTGGCAATAGAATGGATTCAATATGAAATGTTGCAACCACACATATGTTGTGTGTGTATGCTTCAGAAATGAAAACGTTAACTTCTTGCTGAAACTCAGACCGTTTCCCACTGATAATAATGATTTTATTCCAGCTTAATGTGGCCAGAATCTGTACAGTGGCTGCAATGAACTGGAAACGTGCAAGTTCCGTGGACAAGGACTGAAAGTTGTTGGTAAAAATTGTATTTTGAAGTTGCATTGTTTTCACAGTAGCACGAAGAGGCTGGACACTGTCGTCGTGAAGGTCTAATATATAGGCAACATTTGTTGATGGGTTCGCAGCTGTTTTGTAAGTTTCCGTTATCTTTTGATTGACCGCTGAATCTTTAGATGCCTGTGAATCATAGCGCATAAAGTTCAAAGTGCAAGTTTCAAAGTCACCAATAATCTTTAGCGTTGTAGCGGAACTGGAGCACGAATCTAAAACCAGCCCACCAATGCGAAGGCTTGGAAGGAAATCAGGATATCTCATTTTGAAAGTTTCAATGGCGAACATAAATGACAGGACTTGTAATAATTTGTGAACGTCGTTTTGAGGGAATCCACAGGAGAAAGGTGTCGCCCCTGCTTGATGAAGTGGGAACACGCCAGTGATAAGTATTTCTCCATCAAGGTACAGATTTGTTGCCTGGGCAGTGGCCACAGCTGCGCATGCGTCGCAGACTGGACACAAACCATTGCACCCAGTGAAAGAAGGACCGTTGAAAGAAGAATACACTGGAAACGGTAGGTCTGTGTCAGCAATCTGTAATCAGAGGAATAAAGCATTATAATTGGGTGTGCGGTCTTGTTCTCACCTTCTAGAACGTTGTACAGATATTCACAATGTCAAAGAATTTGTAGAATAAAATTAAAATGTATATGAAGAGAAAGTATATACTCAAAGTGCTGCATAAAATGTTGTTTCTATTGCAGTTAACGTGGACTTATATAGGTGTTGTGCTAGATGTTTCTATTTTTTTAATACAATTGCCGTGAAAAAAAGATGAGAGTTTGAAAGGGTCGAATGTAAGACGGACCGAATGTAAGACGGACCGAATTTAAGACGGACCGAATGTAAGATGGACCGAATGTAAGACGGACCGAATGTAAGACGGACCGAATGTAAGACGGACCGAATGTAAGACGGACCGAATGTAAGACGGACCGAATTTAAGACGGACCGAATGTAAGACGGACCGAATGTAAGACGGACTGAATGTAAGACGGACCGAATGTAAGACGGACCGAATGTAAGACGGACCTAAGAACGGCAGGCATACGTGCCCTGTTTGTAACCCATTGGGAGAAAATGTTCATTAGACTGTTGTTTTCCTAGAGTGGCCACATACAAAAGTAGGGCTCGATTATTTACAACGCAAAATCGATGTTTGCATTTAATTCTGTAAGCCATACAGTCTATATGTATCGTAGAATAGAAAAGGCATCCAACATCCATGCCTGAGAAGACAGGAGGGTGAACGCGATTCTACATGCTGAACAAAATAAAGAGGATACCAAACACCCACTGCTCGAAAAACTAGCAGCCAGAAAAAAGAAATAAGAAAAGAATAAAGCGCACAAGCCTAAACCACCTAACAAGAAAATTAGGAAAGCGAAATTCTTCACTACTAAACCAACAATGTGCACCAGAATAGCAGTTTGTCTACCTTTGGGACTCAGAATCATTGAAACTCAATGTTTCAACTTCCATCCTGAACCTGGGAAACAAAGATGCTAAGCCCAGTTTAGTGAAGAAAGCAATCACAATGAAACACTTCCACAACAGGTTCCCACAAGACAGCTAGATCAGCAGTAGAAGCAACTACGAAGGGTGGAGTAGATAATTACATTAAACATGCAGATACCACTTCTTTGTATCTGGCAGCCCCCACCGGACGAACTTTCTGCAGAGCTATCAGCCCTACCGATGACAGCACCGTACATGAACAAGCTGCAAACCCCTTATTCAAGATGGTTTTTCTCACTGACTCGCTGTCAGCCATACATGCTCTTCCGTCTAAAACCACTGGCAGCAAACTACAGAGTCTAACAAAGGAACTTGTTTTGTTGCCACAAATGCAGACACTCACCTGCAATGAATTCCATCTCACAGGGGCATAAAAGACAATGACAGCGCTGATGCTTTAGTCAAGAAAGGCAGCAGCAAACCACACATCTACCCAGCCACTATCTTTTCCAGATGTTTAAAACCCTCATTAAGCAAAAACCAGAAACGGATCGGAAAATCAACCCATGAAAATACCGATGAAAAAAAAAAAAAAACCCATGAAAATACCCATGAAAAAAAAAAAAAGATTTCCATAAACACTTGAACTGAACAGAACAGACCAAGTCACAGTTTGTCGCTTGGTACTGGTACTGGAGACTCAACAAACACTCATAAAAGTTAGCCAAACAGTTCTCTGTCAGTGTCTTCGTGCTGAACATGTCTTACAAGACTGACCTCTCTTGTCGGAGATGAGGCGCAACATGTGGCCATACCCAGTAGACCGGATAACTAAGCTTTGGGGGAAAATAAAAGACTTGGAGATGACATCCCACTTTATGGCACACAATGGATTGAAGCACAAGACCAGAGATCGCCGAAGAAGAAGAAATCATTCTTTTCTTGCTGAAGCTCTCACTAATCCTTTTTTCTTCCTGTTGAACGAGTACACTGCAACAGAATTTGTAGAATCACCTCGACACTACTTAGGTGTACTTGAGCTGAGTCAAGAATAGGCATTGTAGCACTAGGTACATTCCTTTAAGCGCTCCGTCTTTATCTCAGCAACAGTGAAGAGTTTCACATTCGATGGTACCGGTAGCAGTTTGATCATATTTCAGCCCTGTCTTTCCTCTGAGTGTCTGGTATCGGTCAATCCGCCGACCCCTCCCTGCTGCACTATTCTCTCCACGACGTAACCATCTGTTCATGCTTCCGTTTTGTTTACTTGCTCTCAAAAGGCCTTGGCCACATTCAGCTTGTCGTAGATCAAAACACCACCCAGTGCTGCAGCACCAGCTAATCTGCCCATCAGTTTATTTTCCAAAGTACCTGTATGTCACGGAAACAATATACGTACGACTCTTTAACTAATGGGGACCTATGGAAGGATCTTTGCCACTCTGAACTCCATCTTATTGAGGTTGCTTTGTAAGTATGCTACAATGTGTGCATCTGTTTGTTAAGCTAGTAAGAAGCTGTGTTAACTGCCTAAACCTCTATTCTCAAACTAGGCGGTATGGTCATCTCAGAACGACAATGCACTGAACTCAAAAGAAATAAAACCTCTACTTCTAGAGGATTCACAATCAATGAACAACATATTTGCCACCTTTGTTCATGGGTTCTGTGCTGGTAAATAAAATATCAAGTACTTAACAAAAAAAGTCATAACAATTAATGAAAGGCAGGTGACGAGGGACAGATAGTAGTTCTCCATGGAGAAATCAGCTGCACGTTAAACCAGTCAATAGCAATTAGAAGATATCAGCTATGGCGAAAACAACCGCCTCTTCTAGAATATGTGAAAGACGTAGAAGGAACTATATCAGAGAAGGCAATAAAACTACAGACTTGTACAGACTTACGCCCCATGTAATGACAGCTAGACTGAAGAAGAAACAACTTTCTGACATTTAAAGTACGGTGAATGAAAAAGACGAATGATAGTGATGGGTGATTTCAACGGCAGATTAGGCAAAAGAAGAACGCACTGGAAAGACTGTCTATGACTTTTCAGCATTGTGGAGACGCAATGTAATAATAATGTTGCATCCCCACTCAAGCTGTGTTCCGAACATGGACCGATAATAACAGTTTGGAAAAGGAAAGGTAATACAAGAGACTGTATCGTACAGAGGTATATCACTCTAGAGCCTTATGTGAAAAATGTAGGCAAAGTTATTAGAACAGAGGGTTAGACCTGTAGCGGAACGTGACCTTCGGTAGTACTTTCGAAGGCCCCGAGCGGAACAACGCCTCACATCACAATTTGGTTTCAGGAAGGGAAAAGGTTGCACATTATTTACACTAAGACAAGTGTGCGAGAAGACCATTGAATATGACGATGAACTGAATACTGGGTTTGCTGATCAAGAAAAAGCGTTTGACAGAGTAGATAAAAACAAATTATGGGCTATTCTGGAGCATTATGGGATACAAGGACAGTTGCTAGATAACATCGTGGCCACGTAGCAAACTTCCCAAAGCTCAGTGAGAACACAAGAAGGCATGTCTGATATGTTTACAGTCAAAACATGGGTCAGGCAGGGGTGTGTGCTATCTCCTCTCTTATTTACTATACACAAAGATAGAATATCAACAGTTCAAGAAGCCAGCGGTGCCTTCTCTATGACCACCAGCAGCATGACAATGGAGGTGATGGCGGTGACACAAGCTTTTCATGTGGCTGGGATCACAGGACTATTCCCGTGTGTGTGCTGAGTGATTCTTTGAGCATGATCCGGTGGGTCAAGGCAGGCTGGTTACGCAGACAGTGGCTTGAGTCATTGCAAAATTCTCCTGTGTGTCCAGTTACTTTCATATTCGTCCCAGTACGTGAAGGCGTTGTTGGTAACGAAAGTGCTGATAGACTGGCAGTCACTGCAATAATTGAAGATGGCCGGCCCATGGATCACGCAGACATTGTCATTGTCCTTAGAGAGATAGGTCGCTCTGTGGATTTTGGAAGCAACGTGTCCACATCACTTCTAAGAATACGCGAATTGGGAATAAAGATCGGCACAGCCAAGCATGAGAAGCACACTGGACGCACATGAAGTCTTGTTAACCAACATAGGACTGGTACTATTAACCGCACGACGTTGATGAATATGTTGAGAGGGGAATCTGAGCACCTATGGATGTGTCCGGAGTGCTGTGAAGATAATCTAATTTATAACTCAGAATATCAAAAGAAGCCAGCTTTAAAACTGTCGACCCAAAAAATCCAAAAAAATGAGGAACTTGACTTTCCAGAGGAAGAATTAGATCCAAACTCAATAAATGAGCTACTATTTGCAGACGATCAATGTCTGTTCTACTGTGAGGGGAGTAGACTACAAGTACATTTGAACAGACTAAGCTCAACATACAGAAGATATAACATGACAAATAAATAAAACTAAAGTAATACAGGTTAGCAGAATTCCTAGTCCGCTACATATCGTGTTGAATGGTCTGAGGCAAGTTAAAGAATTCAAACATCTAGGAAGTATATTCTCAGAAGACGGGAGAACACATCGGGGAAAAGAAACAAGATGCCAGCGAGCCAGTGCACTTATATACCAACTAACACCGTTATTAAGACATCCAAACATAAGTATTAGCGCCAAGAAACAGATTATAAACAGCATGTTGATACA